AACACTCAGGGAAGAGCTATAGGAGAATTAAAGGAAAGAGGTGGGGGAGGAAAAAGAGAAATTAAGGGTAAAGTAAAAATGTTCCCAATTTACTGAATGAAAATACCAAAACACTACACTCTCCACAACTTTTATGCAGATTTAAAACTTGTAACACTCAGAAAAAAAAAATCCTCCTTCACCTCAAGGTATTTCTTACCATAATGCTAATGTTTGCACATCAGATTAACCCCAAAGCAACAGAGACTGCAAACCAGAAGGGGGAAAAAAGTTTTCAACACTCCAGTCACCAAATTATAGAATAAAACAAAGATATTTACATAGAAATTATATAAAATGATATAGGGAAAAAAAGGACAAGCATGAAGACAACAGAAAAAAAAATCTCACCAGATTTTCAACATGAATATCAAGAGCGGCCTTTAATCCTGAAAGATCAAAATGACGAGCAGTTTGATAACCAGGCTTTAACTAGTGTCCTTATTATTGCCTTGTTCCATGCAGAAGGCAAACATTAAGAACCAGGTAAGTTTAAAATTGGATATAATTATCCAAAGGACTCTCAAAGGAATTTTTTGCCTATCATAGTATTTGATGGCAAGGAGGGTCCTTAGAGACATTTTAGAGATGGGGAAATGATACCCAAAGGGGTAAAGATGACTTGACCAAATTCATACAGCTAGTTGCTATAAGCCAGGACTAGCATTCAAGCCAACCAACCCCTACTCAGAGGCTCTTTTCACTCTTTCTCACGTTTAAATTTCTATCTAAAAACAGCATGCTTATTTTTTTTTAAAGCAGGCACCAATGAATCCTGCCATTTTTCAAAGTTGAAATATGAAATTTTTTTTGTATTATCCAAGGCTCTACTTTCTTTTCCTCTTCTCATCTATCTGTAATATTGACAAGAGGGGACTTGGGTTATTTGCTGGATTCCTCTCTACTAGGTGTCTGCTAGAGAATTTGAAAATACACACACACACACACACACACACACACACACACACACACACACACACATATATTTCACACGAACGAAAGAGCTGGTAGGTTTGTTTTCACCGAAATAGAGGCCAGCTGGCATTGCTCCTAACCCCTTTCCTGGCACTCAGTCACTCATAACATTATATGAATCAGTGCACATATTATTCTACCACCATCCCCACTAGAATGTAAGCCTCTTGAGGGAAAGGAACATTTTTGTTGGGTTTGGTTTTTTGTTTTTTGGGTTTGTTTTTTTTTTTTGCCTTTGTATTAGATACTTCATACATGCTTGCTGGGGTGAATTAAATTGAATACATCCTATCCTGACCATCCCTAGGAGTGACTGTTCATACTGCGAAGCTCCTTCCTTTCTTTGGAACCTAAACACTCTACCCATGTACCATACACCAGAGTACTAGCCTAAACCTCCTCCCCACCCCCACCCCCCCACCCTCGACCCCATAAAGAGGTACTTAAGAGCAATCAGAAAAAATGACTGAGATTGGCAACATGGGAACCTATGGTTCAAGATGAATAAGAAAGGCTATATGGCACTTTGACTATACATGTGTTCACATATATAGGAATATACACACAAGTGTATGTGTGACAAAATATATTGAAAAAGAAATAATGAAAACAGTGTGTCAAGACTAGGAATTCAAATTCCACTTGTGGAAACATCTCTCAGAATTATGTCAAAACCAGATTGGTTTCATTTAATGGCGCAAACAGATCAAGAGCATATAATCTATTTCTTCAAGGAAATCTCACTTTCGAAAATAATGAGAACAGTTGTAGACTACTGTGTCCCACTTAATGATATTAACATTCTGAATTGACACTCAGCTTGCATATATTATGTTCATTATAGCATCTGTGATTTGGAGAAGGCAAATTTCCCCCAAGACACAAAATAATCAAAAGTTGGTTATATGTTTATCAAGGAATTTAACGGTTATTTCCCCACGGTAGTAGTATCACCAAAGGTTTTTGTCAAACAGCACTGATTGAAATAAAATCCATTTAATCACTTTGACTCCCATACAACCACACTCATTGGAGAGCCAGAGAGGCCACATGTGTATGAGAATTGTGCCCAGGTGGGCATCACAACGTTTCCAAGGAGGAAGCTGCATAATGTTAGACTAGTGGCATTTCTGAAGCTCATCAAGTTATGATGTCTGCATGGGATTCTGGTCTATTGGTTCAACTCCATTAATAATCATGGCTAACATTTATGTAACATTTACTATCTGCCAGGCACTTTGCAAAATCTTTTATTTTATAATCTCATTTGAGCCTCAAAACAAACCTGGAAGGTAGGTGCTATTATTATCCCCATTTTATAGATGAGAAACTGAGGCAAACAAAAGTTAAGTGATTTGCCCAGGGTCACACAGCTAGTAAGTGTCTGAGTCCAAATTTGAAAACCGGTCTTCCTGACTACAGGCTTGCCATTCTATCCATTTCACCACCTAGATGCCCTTTAGAAAAGACCATGGAGCTCTGTTCCAACTCTCTAAATAGCATCAATTCCTGAGAATTCTATGTTGATTAAATCCAAGATAACTCTTCAGTGAAGTTGGAGACGTTATCAGAAACTTCAGACTCATCCAGACTCCCAGGCCTGCCGAACACCAACCTCGACCCTCAGGAAGCTAAAGACAGGAAGTGGTGAGCTTTTGAGTGTGCAGTCACAACCTGACCTCTCCAATTGCAGTTTTTCTGAGTTGATTTCCTGGGGAGACCTCCTAGGACAACTATCAATTTGCACAGAACCCTGAAGAAAGCCTTGTTCATACTGATCCTGATTTTGCAAAACAGTTTTAGCTATCATCAAGCTAGCCTCAGGAATGTAGCATGTCCCATGGTCAACCAGACACAATCTGTAAAATGTTTGCCAATAGCTCCATACTAGAATAGACTAAAAAGGTCAGTGAGGTCAGCTTCTTATATCTGTATGGCACTGCATGATCACATCCTGTTTTCTGACCCACTGAAAAGATGTTACAGAAATTTTCTGAGGTCTTTGGCATAGGCTTTAGTTAAGAAAGCATAAGGTACTAGTGAGAGAGGAACAGAGGAAAAGATATCTAGTATTCTTGTCAAAGAAGATCAGGCCTCTCTCTAAAAAATGCAAGAGAAGAGGGAATCTGTGTAAGAGCAGCTCCAAAGAATGTTTTCAAATCACCAAGATAGGAAAGTCAAGTAAACAGGCTGAATTTCTCTGGGCTTAACTATTCCTAAAGCAAGCTATGCAAAATAATGCTTAGTTGCTAGGTGGTTGTAACCTCAGCTAAGGTCTTGCTCTGTCCAGCCCAGACAATAGTATTGTATAACCAAGGAAGGTCAGACTGCAGGTGGCTTTTTCTCCTAAAATCAAGAATGCAGATGTTATCTGCCAGACACTTCCAACCTTTTCTTTTCTACTCTAAACTAGCCTGCAGACAGGAAACCACACAGGCCTTTCTGACCTTGCTTACTAGGCACCTGTGCCACATGGGGTGGGGAACCTCTCAGTTGGAAGAGGGGACAATGTTTAGTATTTTTAGAGTGTGGTTTGTCACCGAGGAAGTAAAAAGAAGGGATAAAATGCAGAAAACTTAAATGGTGTAGAATCTCATGGGGCTGAGGAAGTACAACACCATCAGAAAGCACAGTTGGAGATCCATTCTTGGCCATGGTATTCCACTTATTATGTGACCTTGGGTGAGTCATCCAATCTCTCCGCCTCAACTTCTTCCTCTGTAAAATAAGCCAGTGAGATTTGGCAAGCTCTAAAGTTCCTTCCAGCTTTAAAACTATATGTTTCTAAACTTTTCCTCAGCTTTTAGCTATGTATAGAAAGTACTTCATGGAAAGGGAGTGGATCAGCAAAGACAGATATGGAGCTATCCTAACTAGGTGCCCCTCAGGAGCTGAACCTGAAAATCCTGAGAAACCTAGGAACAGATGAAGGGAGTGAGGAAGTAACTGGGAAAATGAGAACCATTATGGGTCAGATTTTAGTTGGGACCCCAAAAAGGTCTGTTTTTGGAAACGTAAGATAAATCTGAATTCTCATCTCTGGGTATGCAGGGCTGTAAGAAGAGCAGCCTTTTTTTTTTAAAGAGTCTGAATAGGAGAATCTGAAAAAATATGATAAAATGTTTTTGCCTTGAAGGTAGGTGAACGTGCAATAGGAAAAGGAATCCCCGTCTTTCATATAAGAAATTAGACAGCCAAGATTAGGGTGGAGAGACAAAGCAAGGTGACATTTATCGACTGACCTCTTCAGGAAAGGTACCTGGTCCAAATGAAGAAGAGGGAAATGGGGCAGAAAAATCTACCGTAGAACGTCTCCACCTGGCCCCCTCTACAAACCGCCAATGAAAAGTGGGCAGATACCACTTTGTGACACGTGTTACACATTCTTTCTGACTAGCTCACTGAAGAGGCAGCTGCAACAGTTTCAATCTCTGTACTGAAGCGCTCCGTGTCCCAACAGGGGGAAAAAAGCCAATAACAAAAGAAAAAGCCCAGCCCGCGGGAAACTACTGTCACCAGAAACGGGAAAGGAAACTGTCTTCCAAAAAGGCCTGAGAAGCCCCAGAAAAGGAAAAGGAGCCCTGAAGAGGGTAAAGAGCCCGAAGTCCTTCGCACTGGGCACACACACGCAGCTGCATTCCAATGAGGTAGAGTCGCGGGAACAAAACTTTCTAAACATTAAAACCTTCTCCCATCGCCACCACGCCCTACTCTGGGCGATATAAGACGGAGTTTTTAAAGGAGCAAATATATGGACCCAAATGCTTAGTCGAACCCCTTCCTCAGGACCAAAACTGAGCAATGGGGGGATGAAACAGATCTTCCCTGGTCCTCGCTATCCCTCAATGTTTTTGCCGACCCCATTTCAAGAAAAAGAGGGAGAAAAGCCATCCTTTAGATCCTAATGCCTCAGATCCAGCACCTGCCCCGCCACCCCACCGCAGCAACCAAGCCTCCCTGCCCGTTCCTAGCTGTCCCTGGGTCACCTGCAGTAGACAAGGCAGTCCAGGTGGTTGATCTCGTGGTCCGAGCGGTGGCGGCTGTAATCCTCCCAAAGGTCCTTGATGGCGGTGACTGCCAGGATGAAGAGCACCGGCGCCAAGGCCAGCTCGGGCTGGAAGGCGTTCAGGACAGGCACAAAGTTAAACAGGGCGATCAAGACGAAGTACACGTTAGCCAGGCGATGAAACTGCTCAAAGAGGTTCTTGGGCAGGAAGGACAGCACGGTGTACTTGGTCGTCTTCAGCCGGTTGTCAGCCAGGTACTGGGAGCCTCCCTGACTCCACCACCACCGATGGGGAGCCCCTTTAGTAGCCACATCGGGCTCCCCACCCCCTGGGGGCGGCAGCAGGTTGGAGCGCACAGTCCTGGTCTTGCTCTCCCTCCTTCGCCGGTGCCGCTGCTGCTGTCTGTGTCTCCGCGGCTCCTCCTGCCCCTGATCCCCTTCTTCTCTTGCTGCTGTTTCTTTCCTTCTCGCTCCTCCGTCTGTCCCCATGGTCTCCAAAGCTTCCCCTGTTTGTTCAGCCCCAAGGATGATCTAAGTGGTCCGGCGGTTACTTGCTACAACTTCTCAGGCTAAAACTCAGCCGGGGAGCCTCTCTCTAGCAGTCACTCCCGCTCTCTTTTCTCTCTCTCCCTCTTCCCTCTCCCCCACCCCCCAGATCTGGGTGTGTACGTCCCGTACTCTCCCTACTCCAGCCTCTTAAGTGATCTTCATCACTGTCTTTCAACTCAGGGCTCCCAGCCCTTGGGAAGAGAAGGGTGGAAACGCCTCGCTCTGTGGGAGTAGAGATACACGAGTCCTCCTCCTTCCACCCTCACTCCCCCCTCCCCCGCCTCTCCAGTTCCTGTACTGTGCTACAATCCCTCCTTCGTCCGCTGCTGCCACCTCCGCCCACACCACCCTGAGTTCAGACCGATCTCTCTTCGCCTGTAACTTTTTCTTCCTTCTTTCTTAAATTTGCAACTCGAGTGGCTGGCTGCAAGCCGCTGCGGCTGCCACAGCCGCTGCTGAAGGCGGGATTGAATGACTGACTGTCCAGTTGTCTCTCCATGAGCCGGGGAGTCATACAAAGTAACCTTTGTACTACTGTACGTCACTTACCAACCCCTGGCTCTCGTTTCCGCTCTACTGCTAAAAAGTCGGGCAGAAAGTCAACACACATAGAGAGACTCCCCCTCCTCCATCCCTAACTTACACCCCCATCTCCCGCCCCACACAAGCCTGCTCCACGATGGAATAAAAACATCACTTCTACCCACCAGGCGTGGGCTCAGACAGAGAAAAGAAGCATAATTGGAAACTTTAGTAAGTTTCGTTTCTAAGAAGCGTTAGTTAACTGACTCTCAGCAGGACGTCCAAAATGTTTGGGTCCTATCAAGATGAGAAAGTGGAAATGGGGACAAATAAGCCCTGTTGTCACTTAAGCTTATGAAACCCAGTCATTCTAGCTTTTGAATGGCTCTCTGGGAAACATCGAGGATTGAAGTTCATTACAACTGAAAAGGGATGCAAATTATTGTTGTTTGTATAGCCCTTATTTGTCTGGGAACCCGGAGGAGTCTGATTCCCTTGGTGTTACTACCCAATTTTCTTCCATTAACCTTGCCCTTCCCTCTTCCTGCAGAATTGTAACAAAGTAGCAAAGGAGTTCTCCCCTCCCCCTTTCTTCGAATTTCTCTGAAATGGAGTTTAATTGTCCTGAAGAGGGTGTTGGGCATGGGGAGTGAGGGGTGTGACTGTGTGGGTGGGTTGTGTGGGTGGGTAAGCAGTTGTGTTTAGGGATGGAAAAACAAACAGCTTAAGAAGTTCAGAAGCCAAAGGTAGATTTTGCTTGCAAGGAAGTTTTTTTTTTCACCATTCCAGGTTGATGTCGACGAGATATACCTTTATTTCCCTCCAGTCTCTTTCCTTGCCCAGTAAATCCTGTGATCTAATAAAAACAACATCCCAGTTGGTGTGTCTGGCCGGGGTTTTAATCCGATTAAGGAAATGTAATTGTAGATTGGTTTAAAGTATGCGAGAAGAATTTTGGAGATGGAAAGGTTTAGTGAGTAAATTCTGCCTAAAATGCCCTGTCTACATTCAGTTGTATATATCCTTACATGCCAGTTGCAAGGCCTGGAGGTTGGAGAAAAAGATGGGATATAGACAATTACTGTCACCATTTCATGTGTGACAAGTGGATAGAAGGCCAGATCGGGAGTCTGGAAAATTCATCTTCCTGAGTTCTAATGTGGCTTCAGACACTTACTAGCTGTATGACCCTGGGCAAGACACTTAACACTGTTTGCCTCAGTTTCCTTATCTGTAAAATGAACTGGAGAAGGAAATGGCAAACCACTATCAAGAAAACCCCAATGAATTTTTTCGAAGTTCAGTGAAGACATGCTTAGACACTTAGTTATTATGTATGTGCGCTTTTCATTTTAGAAACCCTTAGAGCTTTAAATTTTAAGTCAGAAGACCTAAGTTCAAATCCTGGGGCTCCAACTTCCACCTTAAGAAACCTCAGATTCCCCACCTATAAATGAAATGAGGGGATTGGGCTATTTGACCACTAAGATCCTTTTGGTTGCCAAATCTATGATCCCGTGCTTCAGAGTGTCTTCCTTCTTAGAATGGTTTCCCCATCTTGGATTTTGATAACAAGGGCTGCATTTGACTAAGTTCTTCTTTCTCATTTCATCCAGAGAGTTTTTTTCTCCCCAAGATCTTTCAGTAGGCATGCTAAGGATGTGCCTAGAGGCCTCGGAGTCCCAAGAGCTTCCCAGGGTTAACAGAAGCTAAATGGTTAGCCTGGGTTCCTCCCTTCCTGGACTGAAGGATTTTCCCTTTTATAGTGTCAGGAACGGTGGTTCAGGAGCCTGGGAACCAGATTTGCAGCCACCTCTTATTTCTCCCTCCTCTCAGCTCCAGAAGTAGGAGCTTAGACCCATAAGAGCCAGGACAAGAAAGAACATTGCAGAAAAGCAGACAAGAATATCCCATTTCTGTGTCCACTCTTAAAGAAATTCAACAGATATTGTTTAACAAACATATTAAGTATCTACTTACTAATCGAAAGGCAACACATTTCTGGTAAATCTTAAATGGTAAAATAAATTTGAAATTTTAAAATATATATCACAAGATCAATGAAATTCTAGAATAAGCTTGTTTTCCCTTTTAAAAGTGTCATAATATTTTTTAATTCCAGGATAATACCATTTTTAAAAATTCAGTACTTACTCAGTAGATCTTAATCTGTTCCCCCTTCTGTACAGTGTCTTCCCCCCTTCCCATGAAAAATTCAGGACAATTAAGATAAGAAAAAACTCAAAAATATACTTTTCATGCCTTTCCAACAACTGGCCATTTTAAGAGATTCCTTCTGCCCATAGTACAGTCTATGCATGTATTGTTTACATACAGAATACCCAAGAATAGTACAATCTTCTGTTTGCACAAACCACTCATCCATTAGACTTCCCACTGGCTTTACAGGAACTCCCCACATTTCCCTTAGATCAGTCTGTTTCTGAGTTCACTTACTCCTTGCTGTTGCCTTTTAAAATCCTTTGTTGTTCAGTCATTCCGGTCCTGTCTGACTCTTCATGATCCCATTTGGGGTTTTCTTGGCAAAGATACTGGAGTGGTTTGCTATTTCCTTCTCCAGCTTTTTACAGATGAGGAAGCTGAGGCAACGAGGGTTAACTGACTTGCCCAGGGTCACACAGCTAGTAAGTGTCTGAGGTCAGATTTGAACTCAGGAAGATATCTTCCTGACTCCAGCCCCTGCAGTCTGTCCATTGAGGAACCTAGCTGCTCTTCAGAATCCTTATGTCCCTTCAAAGCTTAGACTAGGCATCACCTGCTACATTGCAGCCTTTCTTAATCTAAACCCTAGAATTACCTTTTATTTATTTTGTAACAGGACCCTCCTCACCAAGGTCGGTAGGGGTGGTTTCCCTGAAGGACAGCCCTGAGATAGCAAATGTAGAAAGATGTGTCTGCGATTGGGTGGGAGATCTCTGAGCCAATGAAGATTGCTTATAGGAAGACTAGAAGTGGTAAAGGAGATGGGAGAATGAAGGAGAAGATGGGGGGAGGGGAGGGCAGAGAGAGACAGAGATAGTGTATGAGCTCAAACTTTTGAATGATTAACAGGAACTCCTTGGAATGACAAGCATGTGGGGCAAGCTGCACCCAACATGTCTTTTGATTCTCAGTGCCTATACCCACAGAGACTTTGAAGAAAAGACTTCTTGGATGAGATGTTCTCTCCTTGGTTGATTTGAGATTTCATTTGGCTCCCAAATTGAAGAGCACACTTATTCCACGTATTCTGCGTTTACACTTATTTGCGGGACTCTCCCCACCCATTTGTTTGCTATTTGTGTTGATAAATGTTTGCTTGCTACCTGAGATTGTGTTTTATGTTGTGTTTGTCCTTCATTCTCGAAGAGGACCTTGGCATCAGGGAGATGATGATATGACTTGCAATTGACTTTGATTTGAGTAAGGGAGGGCTGTTCAGGGTCACCAGCCTCCTTTTCTCCTCCAGAGCCATCTGGGTCTGGTAGCCAGATATTCAGGACGACTGGAGATGGCCCAGAATGCAGTGGGTGTTTTTAAGCTAAGGTCTTTTCAGTGAGGCAACCCCCATTCTGTGAATAGGCCTCTTTAAGAAGCGGGTCGAGGGATGGCCCCTTTAATTAAAAAAAAAATTAAACTGGGAGGGGAAGACCCCCAGGATTGCTGGCCAAAAGAGAAACAGTTACTATTTACATTCACTCTGAGGCTGGAGGGCCCAAAAAAGAAGCATGAAGTGGTGCTTGGGCAAGGACCTATTGTTGTCTAATCTAAGAGCTCCAGAGTGAATTGGATTTAAGGCTTTGTCTTTGAGAAAGAAATCTAGCCAGTAAACCCAAGAGAGGGAGGGAGAGGGGGAGGTAACTTAGAGGCAGCCAGGTGGCTCACTGGATAGAACATTTGGGCCTGAATTCAGGAAGACTTAAATTCAAATATGGCCTCAGACACTTACTGTGTGATCCTGGGCAAGTCACTTTATTTCTGTTTTAAGAATGAAATGGCAAAGAAAACCCATGGTCAGTATTAGCGAGCTATGGTCTCAGGATCATGATGAGTGGGGCAGGACTGAACGACAACAGCAAAGGTAACCCTTAGTTTAAGGAATGACTGCTTCCTGTTTATAGTGACCCAGGAAAGACTATGCTTTATGCTAAAGCCCCAGAAGAGCATTATAACCCTGACTACAAATAGCTGACTTGTAGAAGAAAGGTAAAATTCTAGTCTAATTCCTCTTTTGTGGTAAGATCATGGAGGAGTGAGCATTCAGCCATGACCCTCTGCCTTCTCTGTCTTCCCCCACCCTCACTTCCAAGGGTGGAATCCAGTGTTCCTGGCACCTGGGTAAGTCAAATGCCTGTATCCTTATGACACCAGCCTTTTCTTATTAACTAATGGTTCCTCTGCATATATATATATATATATATTATATATATATACACACACACACACACACACATATACATATACACACATATATATACACAGATACATAAATATATTGCTTCCTCTGATAGAATGTAAGATTCTTGAGATAGGAACTGTATTATTTTCTTCTTATTCCTAGTGACAAGCACAATGTCTAGCATGTAGCAGGTGCTTAAAGTGTGCATTGATTTCAATACTTCTATTGAAAATTACCACAATTTCAATTTTTTTTTGCAGAAAGTTTCTCTGATAAAGGCCTCATTTCTCAATATATAGGGAAATGAGCCAAATTTATAAAAATAAGAGCCATTCCTCAGTTGATAATTGGTCAAAGGATATAGACAGCTTTCAGAAGGAAAAATCAACTATCAATAGTCATCCATCAGATAAGCTAAAACTACTGAGATGAGGAATTTGAAGTCCTATATTACTTGGCCAGCTATCATTAAGCAAGTCTGCCTCTCATTATCCCTAAACACAGCACTGTACTCCAGGTAAATTTCTTCCATCAGTCAACAAGCATTTTTTTTGCCAAAGTAATTTTTAAAATTTTATTTAGTATTTAATTTTCCCCAGTTATATGTAAAAACAATTTTTAACATTCATTTTTAAAACCTTGAGTTCCAAATTCTCTCCCTTTCTCCCTCCCCACCCCCAGACCCATTGAAAAAGCAAGCAATTCAATGTTATACATGTGTAGCCATGCAAAACGTATTCATAATAGTCATGTTATGAAAGAAAATAGACCAAAAAAACTCAAGAAAAATAAAGTTTTAAAAAAATTATGTTTCAATCTGTGTCTAAAAGACACCCACTAGTTCTTTCTCTGGGGGTGGATAGCATTTTTTATCTTAAGTCCTTCATGTCTTGGATCTTTGTATTGTTGAGAATAGCTAAGTCATTCAAAGCTGATCCTATTACAATATTGCTGTTACTTTGTACACAGTACATTTCACTTTGCATCAGCCCATGCAAGTCTTTCCAGGTTTTTCTGAGAGCATCCTGCTTATCATTTCTTATAGTACAATAGTATTCCATCATAATCACATAGCACAACTTGTTTGGCGATTCCTCAGTTGATGGATATCCCCTCAATTTCTGATTCTTTGCCTCCAGAAAAGAGCTGCTATAAATATTTTTGTACATGTAGTCCCTTTTCCTTTTTTTTTCTCTTTTAGGATACAGACCTCCTAGTGGTATTGCTAGGTAAAAGGTTATGCGTGGATTTATAGCCCTTTGGGCATAGTTCCAAATTGCTCTACAGATTGGCTGAATTAATTCACAACTCCACCAACAACGCATTAATGTCTCATTTTCCCCACATCTTCTCCAACATTTGTCATTTACCTTTTCTCAACAAGCATTTTTTCTTTCTTTTTCTTTTCTTTCTTTCTTTTTTTTTTTTACTGTATATATATTTTTTGCAAGGCAGTTGGGGTTAAGTGACTTGCCCAGGGTCACACAGCTAGTAAGTGTCAAGTACCTGGTCTGAGACTGGATTTGAACTTAGGTGCTCCTGACTCCAAGGCCGGTGCTCTATCTACTCTGCCAGCAAATTGCCCCTCAACAAGCACTTTTTAAGTCTTACTATACTCCAGTCACTGTGCTAAGTGCAGGGGCTACAAAGAAAGGTATAACCAGTCTTTGCTCCCAAAGAGGTCCCATTTTAATACAGAAGATAATGGTTGTTGTTCAGTCCTTTCAGTCGTGTCCTGACTCTTCATAGCCCCATTTGGGATTTGCTTGGCAGAGATACTAGAGTGGTTTGCCATT